GGGTGATGGTGGTTCAGGTGCGTGGCTGCTGTGGTTGCTATAGTTTGGTTTGGGTGGCTGTTGTGGCTGCTAGGTATGTGGAGCAAGGAATTTGGTTGCTTAGGAGTGGTTTAGGATAAGGACAAATGGGGTGAAGGATAAGGTGGCAGCAAGAAAGGCAAGATGCAGGGGAGTTAAGGAAAGATGTGTTGGATTTTGCTTGTTAGATTGAACCTATACTTTGGACCTTCAAATATAACTTTGATTTGAGACACATTCCTCGTCTCGGGCACAGACCTACACAAAAAAACCGAGGAGAAATCAAGACAAATAAAATAAAATAGAAATAAATAAAGTAAAATAGAAAAAAGAGATATAAAACTAAAACTAACAAAAATTTAAACAAAAACTATACAAGTAAATAAAATAAAATAAAATAACAAAATAAACATAAAGCTAATTAAAACTATGAAAGTAACAAAGAAAAGGAACGAAATAAAATAAATCGAAAGCACATAAATACGAAAATAAACTAGAAACCAATTAACTAAAGAAATTAAATCAAAATATAATAAAACTAAGAAATAAACTAGAAACTTTATTCAAAAGAAAACAAGAGAATAAAAGGGAAAATAAACACGGAAATAACTCTGAAACTACTCCCAAAGAGTGACATAAATGTCACTCATCAAATTCCCCTAAACTGAACCTTTGCTTGTCCTCGAGCAAAGCTACGACAAAAGAGAACAAGATGGTATTATTGAAAGCAAAAGAAACAAAGTAGAAACAGAGAGAAAGAATGTACACTAACTCACTGTCGTAGGAATCACGATCAATTTTAGATACTAAAGACAAGCCATTTAAACCCCTAGATCACCCTAGAGGACGAGTGATGCTCTCGTGAGAGTTTCCTAAGAGTTTACCCCACAACTCTCGATAAAAAACCAAGGCAAGGCAACAAAAGGAAAAGAAAAGAAACATGAAAAGAGAAAACAAACACAAGCTCATATATGGACAAGAGAAAGGGACAAGTACTAATGAATGCAAACCTTTCTAAATGGACAAATGTATGCACGTTCCAAAATGTCAATGGTTGATTGAAACAGAACACCATTTTGAATTGTATGAAGACTCGAAGAATGAACATGAAAGGGACAAGTATGAAGACTCGAAGAATGAACTTGTAATTTTAATGTAATGTTTATGTAATTTTTTTCATCATTTTGAATTGTATGACTAAGTATATATTTGTATTTTGAAATTTTAATATTAAGTATTAACCAATTTGTGTGTGAGTTTTTTTTTTGTTTTTATTTTTTGTTAAGCTTTTCGTAAGTTAAGCATTTTGTCCCCCCAAGTTGAAAATCCTGACTCCGCCACTGCCAGAGTGCCTAAAGAATATAGGAAAGTGCACGGCTAAACAAAAGGACCCAAACGATCCATTTTCCGAGATAGACTACTCAAAGTGTTGCTCAGAGTTCAGAATTGGAGTAGCCAATGCAACATGTTTCTGTACTATTGAGGGTATTTACAAGAATCTTACTCTACCTAATATTACTGCTTTTAATGGAAGTACTTACGAAGCCTATAAACCTCCCTTCTCCCAAGTCGAGCTTGAATATAACAAGATTTTTCAGAACTGTAGTATTGACACCACTTATGCCACATTGTGCGACGGTACGTATATCGATTTCCTCTGATCTCTCGTACATGTATCTATACGTATATAATTAATTTTATATAGATTTAATTTTGAAACAAGCATAATAGGCAATCAAATGATTAATTTTAGTATTTCTTATTGTATGGGCGAGTTAGTTGTATAGTTTGATCCTCAAGATTTAGCCGTTAAGGACAACTAATGCAAACAACTAAAACTTTTACTATGTACTTCGTATTTCCTTTGCGTGCTACATCAATTTGATCAGATCAAACACGTTTAGTTGTTTACCATACTACATATTTTAGTAATTTTATTCTTCATTATCTTATAATTTGAAGAATAACTGATATCATCTCATTTTTATAATAAGGTTTACTAGTATAGGTTGACATTTGAGGAATAATAGAGTATTATTCTTTATTATCTTATTATTTAAAGAATAACTAATATTTGTCTCATTTTTATAAGAATTACTATGCAGATGTCAACCTATTATTCTTTATTAATTTGAAGAATAACTGATATTATCTCATTTTCATTCCTATGCAGATGTGACTAATGCTGAGAATGAGGCGGGCAAAAATGGTGCCACTAAGATTATATCAATTATTGGATTGATTCCATGCGCACTTTTTGTTTGGATGATGATCATGTCTTAATTAAGGATTATATGTATATCATTGTAATTTGGACTTGTGGAATTAATAATTACTTGTATATGCACAATTATCACTAGTGTTTGTCAAATCTGTTGTTGAATTCTATAAAAATAAGGGATCGAAATTCCAAATTATGAAAGAAATCTTTTCCATGGAGTTGCATTTATTAAGAAACAAATGAAGTATAGTTTCTCTATTTTTTTTTGCTTGACCGGTTGACCCGATTCTATTCATTTATTACGTGTTGCATGCTGAGTTCACTCATTTAATTTCTTATACATACTTTCTGTTCAATAATATTACATACACTTGACTTATTCTATATATATATATATATATATATATATATATATATATATATATATATATATATGTACACAATTTTTTAACTCATTTTATATTTCAAAGAAGTTCAAAATTATCAAATTTACAGAAAAATAATATCCTTGATGTAGCTAACTTTTAGTACAATTAGGTATTGTGCATTATGAGAATTTTCACAAAAGTATAATACAAAAATGAATAAATATGGGACTCATCTCTTAAAATTAAAAATGATATGTAAACAATTATGGCCAAAATAATAAGTTAATGTAGCTAACTGTAATGGAGTAATACATGATCTGATTTGGATTGAGTTATTGAATTGGATTCATGAAACTAAGAATATATTTACAACCTCGCATGCCTAGCCATGAAATCAGTCAAGTCAATTTCAAAATTTGTGAATTACAACTTGTTGATTGGACAAAGGAAAATGTTTTATGGAGAAATTGCAACTTGGAGAAATGTGCATCCATGAAATTGGAAGTTGAGATTATTGATAGATTGGTATGTGGTATGTATGTCTAGCAAGTTGACATTATTATTGTTTGTCAATGGCTAAAAGAAAAAAGAAAGGAATGAATTAAGATTACTTCATAATAAATATTACTTCATAACGGAAGACAATGGCAGTGGGAGCAACAATACTCAACCTAACAGTACTAACAAGACAACAATTTTACTAGGATTACTTCCTAAGGCACTACTTTTTATCATTTGGGCGATATTAGTGTCCTATTAGGACAATTATTCATCATTTCATAATCTAAATACTACCTTCGTTTCATATTATTTGCAACTTTGGAATATTTTATATCTCACAAATAATACCCCAAAAGTTGCAAATAATATGAAACGAGATAGTATACAATTTGAAATTACTCATCTTTAAAGCACTTTTGTACTATCGTGAAAAGTCCATTATACTGCAATTTTATTTATTTTGTCATTAATGGTCATGATGTTATTGTGCGTATGTATTTCAATTGAATATAATGGAGTTTGATTTGAGATTTGAGAAAAATAAAATCATCACACATTGTTCTCAATTATCTCTATTTTTTCAATGCCTAAATTTGTAGTTGGACTTTGTATCTAAAATGTAAAAAGTCAAACTTTAGCTAAGCACAAGTCAACTCTCATGCCAGTTGCGCACGTTCACGTGTTTAGCGCCATGCACACATTCTAGAAGTATATGTATGAATACGCAAATGCTATAGCGGTATAGCCCTAATGCCCTCAAATCCCGAAGTCGTGCCTTACTGGCTGATGATTTATTTATCAAGTGGCCCTAAATCTTCAATAGTTGACATTGACTAATTGCAAATTTGGAACTGTATGTCAATTTTAATATAATAAAGTCCATTATTTCAAAACCAGTGGTCATGTACTCTTCAATTGGCTTGATCGATCTTCCATTAATTTGTTCAAATTGAGCATGTACGCTGTATAATTTAATAATTATATAATTTAATTTGCATTCAGGATATACTGAAATTTGATTTTTTTTTTTTTTGTTATTATTTTTTAAAAAAGTTGCCGAATTTAGGTTTTTGTTCTTTTCTTAAAGAAAAATTACATACAGAACATTTCTTGCATGCACATGGCTATTCCATAAAAAGAAATTAATATAAGCTTCCAAGTAGGAGTATAAAAACAGAAGTCAAATGTTACGTTGAACGATTATGCATTTACTACATACGTTATTGCTGGTATTATGAAATGCATGGCTGGCAACTTCCTAGAAGTTGCTTAAAAACCTAATTCTAGATAGCAATAATAATAATAATAATAATAATAATAATAATAATAATAATAATAATGCTGGTGAGGTAAATAATGTGCCATCTGCCCTCATCTATCTCATATAGAAGAATGAACATAATGATAAACTTTATACTTGTATTATACACATGGTGTATCATAAACACTTTGTACACTCAATTTTTTTACTCCTTTACTAGCTCCGTGTGCAAATGAGTAAAAAATAGTCTTTTTACTCATTTATTATGAACGAAAAAAATTATCTTTAATGTACCCAGGTGTATAATAAATTACTTATCTCATTATAATAGTACCTCAAAAAAGCATATAGTGTTGCATAATGCATATAGTTAATTATTGTGGTGATAACTGATAAGAATGTACAAAATTTATACTATACCTCTAACGGCTTTTTAATAATAAGTAACAGGCGAGGTAGCGTCCATTTGTGAGGCACTCAAATACTTAATTGATCCATCATTCTTTACATTATTGAGAGAATGTTAGTTATTATAATTTAAGTTCTATTATAATCATTCTACTGCTATAATAAGATTGGCTATAAATATAACATATGCTTCAATATCAATTATCATATTTACTTACTCACATCAATAAGCTAGAGCTTTAAAAAAAATAGAGAACGAGAGAATAAGATATTAAGCATGAAAATGAATGTGGTATTGTTGGTGTTGTTTGCAATAATGTTGACAACACTATCAATTAGACCTTCATTAGCACAAGACGATGAAGTCGGAAATATGGGGTGTTGGGACAACATTACGAGCTGCCTTGGTGATAATGAAGTCCTATTGTGTTGTCCAGTAATTCAGCAAGAAATAGACAATGAAAGAGATTGCTTTTGTTTGATGAAAGAAACTGTGCAACAAAATGCAACTGTTGCGGCTTCCTTCTCTACCATCTTTACATTTTGTGACATTTCTGGTTCTTTTCAGACCTTATGTCCTGATGGTATGTACAACCTCGATTTCCTTACTCGATCTCATAGCTAATGCGTTTACTTGTTAGATAAGAAATAATAACTGATTTTGCTATTTTTATTTATTATCAAGATTCTGATTCAATCTCGGCTCCACTTGCGTCACCAGACTCATCATCACCAAGTATTTACATTTCATCTCTACAACTTTTATATACGGGAAATGTCGAAATCTAATATATATTAAAATAGGATATGAAATTTATTAGTAAATAAATGTGATTTAAATCCGATTGTCATTCCTTAATACAAGCATTCTGATCATGTTACATTTAATATATGCATATACTTGTTAGTTTAGTCATATAATTTAATTTTTAACTTACTCCGATCCACTAATAAATTAAGTTTACTATTTTGAATTGATTTTGAAGGCTCTGTACCAACCTCGGCTCCAGTAGAAGATCCCTCACCACCAAGTATGTCTTATTCATTAATATGCGATTTAATTTCTTATTTTCATGTGAAGATTTTGTAATAAACAAGATGCGTTATTGATTAATTAGTTGTTAGCTAGAGCAAGTCTAGTATAAAGATTTATACTTACCTATACGACATACGTATTATTTAATTTCTAATTTTTGAAGGTCCTACTTCTACAACTTCTACCCCTGCTACCGAAGTATCAACTCCCTCGCCAGATGAGTCAACACCAGCTGGTAATTTCTTCGTTTGATGCATCAATTAAACTATTTTTAGCTTTCAAGTATAAATTTTCACTTATTTCTTGTATATTCATAATGTTGGTGTATACATAGATAGGGTTATTCATTATCCCTTGACTAGTCGTATCTATCATTGTTTAGGAGAACAAATTAAGCTTTATCCCATATAATATAGGAGAGAATTAAAAGAGTTAGAAGCAAGGCGAGATAAGAGTTAAGCTCTCGGACCTCAGAGTCCAAAGCTGAGGCTAGTGATGCTTGTACGTTTTCACTTAACAATTGGATCATATAATAATTTATGCGAGGTAACCAAACAAAGCTTAGTCTAGTGTTAAAGTTTGCACCTCCCAACTTTGAGGTTGTGGGATCAAACCCCACTAAAGGCACTTTGGGGTGGGAATTCTCTTACCCTTCCCCCCTAATCCCAAAGTGTCTAGCCCGCTAACCCAAACCAGGAAAACCTGTGAGAGGTTCTAGTCTGATAGAGCCATTTTCCTTACCAACCCAAAATAATAATAATAATTATAATTTATGCGAGGTATATTTTGATTTTTTTTTTTTCATGTACAACAAACAGGTGTTGGCGAATGTTGGTCAAAGATATTAACTTGTACCGATTCGAAGTCTGAGAGTGAAATATCAGAGTGTTGTCCCGTTGTTGAACAAGCAGTAACAGATGAAAGTGAGTGCTTCTGTGCTGGTGCCAAGATCGCTGTTCTTGATGATCCTTCAAATGCCGACACTTTTGATCAGTATTTGACGCTTTGTAAAATCAGTGAATCTCTTGACACATTATGCACTAATACAAATAGCAGTACTAGCAATGGCACAGGAAGTCGGATTCCAAAGAAGACGAAGACCGGCCTAAACATAAGTGGAAGTAACAACAATAATATTGCACATATAGTTGGATTACTTCCTAGTTCACTCTTGATTATTTTCGCAATAAGTTTCTTGATTTAAAATAATAACTATGATATCTTGATTTGAATCATTGTATATATATAATCGTTCTTTATGGTAAGAATAATTTATTTAAGTAAGTACTTTTTGGAGGGAATATTTTCAATGTAACGTTGCCAAGTGTCATTTTGAATTCGCTTTTAGTAATATGTAATAGATTCTTTGTACGAGTATTATTTTATAACTAATAAAAGTTGTTATAAAAAGTTTGCTAAATTAGTGCAATAATGTACATGTCCATAATTACAACTTTTTACATAATTTTGCTAGCTAAGTAAAAATCAAAGATCGATATTAATGATTAGAGTTGTACTCTGGCATGTGCATAAGTCATGTTAATGCACTTATTCGGATACATATATAGGGATATTAATTAGTAAAAGTAACACAGGAATTGGATCTCATCCTAGCCTTTACAAAATAGAATAGAGAATAATAGGAAACTATTTTTATTAATATGCTGATTGTTGAATGGAAATCATTCGTTCAACCTGAAACATTCAACTATATTAAAACAACTTGCTATTAAAAGAAGTATATATATACGTAAAAATAAAAATATAATATATATCAATACTAATCGAGAAGGTCAAATAGCTAGATGTTAACTCTCAAGGGAGGTTCTTTCCAAAAATAATTAAGCACATACTTACATGTTGTATGTTTATAATTGAAAAGAAAAAAAATACAAGGTCAGGGTCAATCATATATATTTTCGAAAATACATGAAGCTCAAACTAATAATACCTAAGGAAATTTCATTCATCATGCACTACAAATCAAATAAATATTAAGAATTATTGTTTTTTTTTTTTTTTTAATCAACAATACCAAAAAAAAACAAGTCTACAAATAGAAATCAAATTGAGTACAAAATATAACAAACACGTAACAACAAACCAAATACATACTTAAGAAAAGAAAATGAGCAAAGTGTTGTGCTTGGCTGCTTTGATGGTGGTGCTAGCGGTGTCAACACCACTAGCGGCACAAGCACAAAATGGCGCTGATTTACCAGATTGTGTAACAAAGCTCAACCCTTGTGGCCCGTTCATTAACTCGACAACCGTCGTGCCACCAGCCACATGTTGCAAGCCCCTAGAGGTGGTGCTTAAGAATGATATCCCTTGTCTTTGTAACATCTTTAGCAGCATTGAGTTGATCCAGACCTTGAGTCTCAATGTTACTGAGGCACTTACTCTGCCACAACGTTGTGACCTCCAATTTGATATAATTGCTAAGTGTGAAGGTAATTAAGTTTTTCCTGATTTATTATCTAGTAAGTATGTACATACATATAATATATATGTTATTAAAAGTTAAAATAATGTGACAATTAATTTATTACGAAGTGAAACATGCAATGGTTACTGACGTGGTTATTGTTTTTCAAGCAACAGCGCTAGCTAAGGCTCCATCAATGTCTCCGACTACAGCTCCAACTCCAGCTTCAGGTTTGAAATTTGTGATTTTCTTTTTCTTTTTTTTTTCTTTATAACTAATTTATTTGTTTCTCCTTTGTCGAAAAAAATAATAACTAATTTATTAATGAATTTATGATACCGTCAAGATACAATTGTACTTTTTATATTTTATCGACCCTTACTAGCTTAATAAAGAGATAATAAATCTTGGCTTAGCTTTAGTAAAACTAAGTTGTTCATGATTTTAGAGGTTAGTAATGGTATATAAATACAAAATACGAAGTATTGGCTATAGGATCCTAATTAATAATAAAAATGTGTTTTTTTTTTTGTTTTTTTTTTTGTAAATAATAGTTAAGAAGTAGAAGTATGAAATTGATTGGCATTAAAAAATTTGTAAGTATGGACTAAGAAAAGTGAGCTGGGTTAATAACATTGCTTGAACTGGATCAAATGTTTGGGCTTTTTCTTGCTTTTGTGAAACTTTATGTCTCTATTGAGGGCCTGTGGACCTGGGTCCTTTTGAATTTTTTTTTTATCTTTCTTCACTTTCTTTCCTGTGTTGAAGTATTGCTTATTGCTCACCCAATAAAAGGGAAAAACCTGCATGATTTCTCCATTCTTCTCTTTGTAATTTATTGTTAACTGGTTAGAAAATGAGAGAGACAACATGAAAGGCTTTGATTTATCATGCTTCTGCCAATTTTCAAAAATTGACATTTGTGCACAGCCCCATTGTCATGTTAGGTTAGGCCATATTTTAAAAATGACGTTCACGAGTTGTCCGCGTGCCAATTTGACCTATGCCAAATTTACTCTAATAGCGTTTAAAAAGTAATAAATTCTCCCTAAGATAATAAGATGCATATATTTATTCGTTTGTCTTAGTTGTGTACTTAAATACTAATTTCTAGATACATCATGTGTATGTAATCTACTCATTGTGACATGAGGGACAATTGAATTACACAGAGAAGACAAATTCATGTTCATTTTGTGATCTTCATTTTCACATCATGTTACAAGTTATAATAATTTGCACCATGTGCTAACTTAAATTGGTCCTACTCTACATGTCTACATTAGATAGATACAAAATGTGTCATAAATCAAATCACTGATAAATCTATTCATCTACGATTCACAATATAAGGTCTATCAAGTATACTCAGGCTAAACTCTACTCATCAGCTAGATATTTGTTACTTATTAATTGGTAATTCTTCCATATTTTATGATAACAAGGGATAAAAACAATGTTATTTTCATTTTACGTGATCTACTCATTAAATTATTTTGAGTTAGACATTTCGAGATAAACTTAGGCCAATAACAAAATATGGTTAACTTGGATCTTCAAAATTACTCCATATCTTTTTATTTTTAACAAAACAAACAACACAGTACAAAAATAAAAAATACACTACTCCGTATATTGATAAACACACATTTCATGATAGACTTGAGTCAAAACCTAATAAGATAAGTTCCAATTAAATCCTCTAAACAAAATCACCATAAAACCTAACCTAAACTAAACTTAAATAGTTAAACCCCCGTGACTCCTTAAGATAAAATCATTCCAAGTAAAAAACAAAAACAAATAATTGTTGTTCACTATAATCCTTTAGAAAATGGGCAAATTGTCGGTGGTGGTGGTGGTGGTTTTACTGGCGGCGCTAGTAGCGTGCACGGCGGCGCAAGGGTCGGACGGAATACCCTCGTGCGCAACAAAGCTAGCGCCGTGTTTCTCTTACTTGAACGCCACCAAAACACCGGATACAAGCTGTTGTACTCCACTCAAAGAAGCGGTGACAAATGAAAGAAAATGTCTTTGCAATATTTATAATAATCCTGCTTTAATTCAAGCTTTACAAATTAATGTTACTCAAGCTCTTAATCTCATCACTCTTTGTCATATTAATACTGTCAAAGATCCCAGCACCTTTTGCAAAGGTTGGTTTTATTTTAATTAATTTAATTATTTTGGTTTTTGTAATTTTTATGTTTGGTTTTGTCATTTATAATTTTCCCTTGATTTTGGTTTAAAAAGTTTTAATTTTGGTTGGGTTTCTTTGAAAAAATATCATTTCTTTGTTTGCATATGATTAAGTAGTATTAGTCTGAAATTACTGTTTAATTTGCAATCGAATTATTCAATTAGTATCAAAATTGTTCTTGTAAAATTCGATGTTTTGGATTTTAAATGTTATTGGATTTTGATTTTGAATTTTGCTATGCAATTGATGACTCAGGTAGTAGTAGTGTCACTAGTGTGGATATACTGTTGATTTGCAATCCTATAGTCCAATTACTCGTATTATTGATTAATTTATTTTGAATACATATGAATATGTGTATTTGTTGATTTTGTACCCTTTTGTTCAGATTTAGCCCAAGCCCCATCTCCATCTTCTTCACCTGCCGCTGGATCAACCCCAACTCCTCCAGGTAAAAAAGTTTCCATTTTTGGAATGGCCTTTTGAAATTTGATTTTTCTTAGTTTCTGTTTTTGGTTTATTTCATTTTTTGTGACAACTGACAATAATACTAATTGCAAAATTGAGTGCTTTTTTGGATTGATACATTGTGTCTGTGACAAATTGGGAAGAATTATAAATGGGGATGGAGAATTTCTGGTTGTTGTGGAGTGGGTGGGGTGGAGTCACTATCATGATTTCAAGTGGTTTGTTTTGATATCTTGTTATGGTAAAAGTTTTGATAGAGGCGTCGACATAAGTTGAGCTGGATTAGCTGTATATATTATTGGTTCGTAGCCAATTGTTGCCCGAATTTGTCAAACTTGGGACATTTGGCTTCTAGAGACCGACCCGTCTTGTGCTTGTAGTACTTTGTTTACAAGTGACTAATTGCACACTTCAAACAAAGTGCTTCTTCCATTCCACTTGAAGACCTTTTCTAGCACCTTAGCTTAGGTAAAGGAACCTTAGCTTCTCCTTATGTTAAGCATTTAACATGCGTGTTTGAAAATTGTCGAGCTACTTAAGCAGAATTATACAAGATTGCTGTCTGTCTATCCTTAGTACCTTTTATGATGCCAATTGAATCATTGGTGTCATGAAGCAAGGATAAGGATATTGGTGTTGGCTTAGACTCTCAGTAGTCAGGACTTCGCTATCAATTATCCAATGTTTGATTGGTTTGTTAGCCTTATTTGATTGAAAGAGGAGGGGGGAATAAAGGTGATACTACTACCTAAGATGATTTTCATTATAATCAGCCAGTTGCGATTGGCAAGATGGCTTACTAGCCCAGCCCTTTCTCCCACCACTATCACCTTTTGTCACCAATATCCCAGCAGTGGAAAGCTGGAGACCACACTGCCCTCTTTCTCCCTCGTTTACTCATCTCTGTTGTATGGTATTATTGTTTTCTCCTCGAATGCATTTGACAAGAATGAACAATGATAACAGTTTGAGAAATTTTCTATTTTCATGAACAAGCTGACCGGTTACAACCTAGTCAAGACCACAGGGAGGGCAAAACCCCCTTCCCCAAGGCTAACAAAAACTAGCAGAAACACAACCTATTAATAACCACTAATATCAAAAGAACTATACCTATATCTGAAATTGTTTGCATTGCTCATTTGCTCCTAAAGTAGTCCATCTGAACACTCTACTGAAGTTAGTGGTCTGCATTCAGTCGAAGCCATAGCTTGTTCTGCTGCATTAACTGAGCTTTGTAACAACATTGAAAGAATAGATGTGGAATTGATTCAGGCCTATCAGGGCCATTCCCACATATAGTGTAGACTGTAGAGTTGAACATGTAAAATGCTCTTTGATGGTTCCAAACAGGCAACCCCCCCCCCCCCCAACACACACACACACACACTCTTTTTCTCCGGAAAGAGAACAATGTTATGAACTAGAAGGGGTGATTTCTTTTCCATGTGGTCATGTAGTGAAATTATGTTGATGGGTTTTGATCTTAATTTTATTTGGTAGCATGACCAACCTCTGCATATATGCTTTGTAACAAGTTTGCTACCGGTAGATAGGAAAACCATAATACATTAATTTGCATGAAACCCATTTAATTTGGATGTACTAAACTAAGCTAATCATCTGATCAATCTTTGCAGGGAGCGCGTCTACAAGCAGTCCTCCTGGCAATGCTGCCCCTAAGATCACAGGGGCTGGTTCGGTTGGAATAGTTTCTATCTTACTTATGTTTGGGGCATATACAATGTTTTAGTATGTGCTTTTCTGCTCTTTTGATATCTTTAATTAACTTGTGTAATCTAGAAATTATTGCATGATGATCATAATCATCATATCATTATTGTGGAAGACATCAATTCTGATGAGGCCATTCAGTGTTTGAACATTTTCCTGAGTATCTAATTAATTTTTAAGTGCTTTCTTCCATCACAATTTGATGTTATACCTGGGTATTGTCTAATCCCGTCATTGATTCATTGATAAAATTGTAAATTGTAAATTGTTATAACAGTGTAGTCTCTTATAACCATACTCATGGTTTGGAACATTACTTAAGCTGAAAGAATCGCAGTTGGCATAGATAAGTTAAAATCTCTACCAACTACTCTTTGGTGAAGCCGGGCTATAGCTGTGACTTCTCCTGGCTCTTATAGAAGTGTACTTATACCTCTACAGCTCTACCTTATATAGAGGAGTTGTATTATCACGTTTAATTCTTAGTCGGTACAAGACTAATTATAATCATCTAAATAAAATCATACCAATCCAAGCAATAACATCAACCACTCTAGCTAATTAGAAGGTAGAAATTAGATTGTTTATTATTCTTGATCAACAAATAGTTAGAATGTTTACGATAAGATATTGAGCAAGGTGAGGCCATATGTTGAAACTTTTCAAGAGAATGTTTTTATGCTACGAGGTAATTAACAAAGTCAAGCCCATTCAACACTCTTACAACTTTTCAAAAGAATGTTTCTATGCTTCGAGGTAATTAACAAAGTCAAGCCAATGTAACACTCCTACAATTTTTCAAGAGAATATTTATACTTAAAATATCTATATGAGCAAAAGCGATATATTTTGTATGATAGAATGTATTAAAACAAAGTCATGATATGAGCTATAACCATTAGCTTAACTTTTTAGTTAACTTGTCAGTTAACATTATATCAGAGTCAATGTGACATAAGAGTCACGAATTAAATTTCATTTACCCCTCTTTTAAAATAGAATATTAAGCGATGGCTATAGTGAAACTCATCTCAGCATCTGCACAACAAGATTTTTTTTCCTACCAATTTTCAATGAATATACACATATTCACATTCATTCACCCTAGTCATCTTCTATAGAGGCCCCACTTTCACCTGCCACTCAACTCCAAATCCATAAAACCACACTCCAACCTTCAAAACAATCCCAAGAAAATTCCCCAATAAACAAGAAAGCCATCTTTCGACTTTCTTACTTTCTTTGAACATGAGCAAAATCGTTGCTGTATTATTGGCGGTAGCGCTAGCGGCGGCGCAAAGCTCAGGCGAAACACCTTCATGCGGGTCGAAGCTAACGGCGTGCGTGAACTACTTGAACTCCACCACTACGCCGCCGCCAAGCTGCTGTAACCCACTTAAAGAAGCGGTGACCAATGAAAAGCAATGCTTATGCAATATATACAATAATCCCAATTTAATTCAAGCTCTTGGTATTAATATTACTCAAGCTATGAATCTTCCTAAGCTTTGTCATATTGATACTGGCAAATCTCCTGATATATGCAAAGGTTTTTCCTTTTTCTTTTTTCTTAATCATCATTATTTTGATTTATTTGGGTTGTTTGATTGGTTAATTTATCATTTATGAGCTTAATTATTTGGGAATTTTTTAAAAAATTACATGTTTTTGTTTGGGATTGAGTGATTGACTTTTTGTTGTTTGATCAATTGTGTTCTTTATGAGCTTGATTAGTATTCTATAGAAATTAATTGAATTAAATCTCCTTGATTATTGTGAATTGAAAAGTCAAACTAAGACCAAAAAAAGAAAAAAAAAAAGGCTTAAAGGAAATACTATTTTGTTTTCACATGCATTTTGATGATTTAACAAGGTGGAAAATAATAAAAGTTAAGAAGTTGCATATAGAAAGTTCAACAAGTAGATTAATGTGAAATATTTCTCAATTTGTATGTGTTATAGTAGACTAGTAGATGGTAATATTACAAGTGTATAATCCCGCGAACAACAATGAAAATGATAAGCTCAATATGTTTACATAGCCTACCAGCGAATTTGAAATTCAACCAAACTCAATTTGGTTGAATTGTTTCAATATTGTAGACTTCATGTGACCATCAATTAATGAAATCGATTTATAGAACGGAAAAAAAAAAAAAAAAAAAATATGGACTACCCTTCCAAGTTACTTTATCAATTGTATGTGTTTCTTCTTACATGCAATCTGAAATTTCATAAGTAATTTTAGAATGTATGATAAATTACGTGTCGATTAGTAGAATGGATGTTTTAATGTATATCTAACTTAATATTTGTAAAATTGGCTCCTTTATGTATATCAATTTCCTTATTTTAAAATTACATTTACCTTGGTGTAATTATTCTAATACTTTTTTCTATGTATAATTATTCCCCCTTGGTCAGGTTTAGCAAATTCCCCATCATCTTCAACTCCTTCAGGTAACATTTCTTCATTGTCATTTGGTTTAAAGCCTTAAAATTTGAATAATTGATTTACTTTTTTTAGGCATTTCAATGTTGTTAGTTGCCCTGTACTTGAAAATAACGTGTAGTCCGTACTTTGCTTGAATACCATGTCCATATTTGTTATGTCCTTTTGGACACGGATTAAATGTAGATGGTGGTGGTTGATTGGTTGGTTGTTGTAAATATGAGGGGAGGAGGGTAACTAATGTGATGTAACTTAATTCTTTGGTTACCTTGAGCATTTGCTTCTTGTAAAGAATTGTCAACACATACTAGTTACTAGTAGTCTAGTTCAGACTTGTGTCACATGGACTTATATTACTCGGACTCATAAAAATAATGTTAGACTTAGATATGGTGTCTTGCATAGATATGGTGTCTTGCACGGATGGTTGATTTGCTATTTTGAACTAATAATTAACAACGTTTAGAACTTATAACTGATTTTTCGCACAATTTTTATGACTTTGAAGAAATTGGCTGGGGCATTCATTCTTGCTATATTTTTATTGTAGTGGTTAACTTCAACCTTTGTAGACACATCTACTTTTTTACTTTTATTATTAATGGGTGATTAGAATTTGCACTATTGAAACATAGAAAACTGTTCTTCCACGTAGAGGTGTCGAAAAAAATAAGTTTTAGTGATTGAAATATCAAATCCATATCAAAACCCAGTCCAATTTACTCCTAGCAAGCTACGGAGTATCATACTAGCTTGTAATTGCTGAGGTTTGTGGTGACTAGTTCCTTTCAATTTCAATCCACCTAATTATCCTTAGCTACTTCCATTTGTTATGCTGTAAACCTGCCATACATTTTGTTAGTATCATTGAAGTTTGGTGAGTTGTTTCTTAGGAGTATTGGACAAAGAATTTTTGTTCCATCTATTACCTCTATGATGCCAATTGATGTGTCATCAAACGAGGATATGGTTATTGAATGCATTAGTGTTAGGTTTGAATTATTTGGGAAATTCCAAGTTCCAAGTCCTGGCTATCTTGACTAGCAGTAAACGTCTCCCGGTCTCTGTTTTTAGATGTTTCTTCTTGAAAAACAGACAGCTGTGATGGTCATGTCCCGTATACCTACCTCGATTATTATTCACTTACTGGCATGCACTTCCATCTTTGTATCTCCTGATGACTGACTCTTTGTGAGACCACCTGCCAGCCCCTCCTCGCCTAGCTGCTAACCCCTCCATCTATTACCTAACATCCTTAATTTGACACTAGCACCTTAGTTCACGCTCTAGCTTTTGCTCGTCTCTTTTCATGATTACATCATTACATGCGTGCTATCCTGATTTTCTCTTCTTAACTCGTATCTTTCCAAATCTAGCATTTTGAAGAGAAATTACTAAAAGTCTAAAAAAAATTGATCACTTTGTATGGGAGAAAAAGGAAAATACCATTCTTAGGTCTAACCAAGCAGTAAGTTGTCATATAAGCAATGCTCGGCTTCTCTTCCCTCCATCAAGAAAAAGGGAAATGGCGGAAAGGGTCAGGAACTAAAGCATTTACTCCTCCCATCTTAACATCAACTTGGTAAGCTCTGCAAGATAAAACTTTGCCGCGTGAGATTAGCTGGTAGATTTCCAAAAATTATATGGACTGGGAAAAAGGAAAGGAAATTTGATGCTTCACTCTTCCCTCCAACTTTTAAAAAGTGGAGTACGCTTCTATTTCAAAAGGTGTTACAGCACTAAATCTACAATCAATAAAATGAAAACTCTCTAAGTTTTTCATGGAATACTATTAAACAATGTGAAATTTTGATTGGAGTTAGAGACGTTTGTATTTCATACTTGATTTGTCGGTCTGATCAACTTCTGTCAATATGCTCAGTACTGAAATTGAGTTTGCTGCTTGCAGAATTGTATTTGGAAATTCGGTTTGTAACTTTGTATTCATCCGGTGGATGATTTGGGTTGGATTTGTTCCTGTTTCTTATTTCCTAATTGACAAAACAAACAAGTTATGTCATCGGATATACATGAAACTATCTAACTCCGTATGAAACTAATTTTCTGTAATTTGAATGAACTGACATAAGTTTATATCTTTGGCTATATAATCTTTGCAGGAAGCAGTCCTCCTGGCAATGCTGCTGGTAGGATTACAGGAGCTGGATTAGTTGCCATCTTACTCATGCTTGGAGCATTCTTCATGTTCTATTAGATTGCAATTGCATGTATTTTCAATTTTCAATTTTCAATTTTCAATTTTCATGTATTACCATTTCAGTTTGCTCCACGTTAAATCAAAGGTTGATCATTGTTTGCCTCGGGTGTTTATGTATTTATTTATCTCCTGTTATACTAGTATTATGGTATATCTTTATTTTTAGAACACTGTGTATGTCAATTTTATAATGTGTTATAAGTAATTGAGTAGAGTAAATCGATTAATAAAAAAGGGTAAAAATTACCTTATATTTATGTTTTGATTAATTTCTTACGGAGTACTCCTTTACTATACAAAATAAGTAGCCTTTGATTAATTTCAATCAGATTCCTAAACCCACAACCAAAACAATGTTCAACTTAAGAAAACTCCCAGTTCAAATTGAAAGATAGGATGTATAAAATGGAGGGTACAAGCTCCTTGACAGCAAGCTAATTATCTAATCCCGGTCTCTCACAACATAACTCGGTACTGTACCGCCATCGGCCTGTGTAACCCAACCATTACAATCTCAAAAGCAAGTCTCTAGACAAGCTAAGGAAGCAGGAGGAAAAACATACCATTGCCTAAAGCTACTAGGAGTACTAGCACCAACAGTTAAAATGGTTGTAATATGGTCAATTCTACGTATATTGTAATATTTGGAGACCTGCAACGGATCATGTCACACATATGAAGAAATTGGACAAAATACAAGCAAAAACCCAGAATAAGAAATCGATCATGGAAGGCATGTAGCAATGTTGCTCCTAAAGTAGCATTACCTAGTCATCTATCCAACGCAAATGCCACCTAAGCGTACTTGTAATTGATGACTACTTAAGCTTAAAAGTGTTTCAAATGGCATTTAAAAGTGTTTTTATATTGTATACTAGGCTTAGATTACTTCTATTGATCAATTTAAATAAAAAAAATGTTTGTAAACTAATCTATATGCTTAAGACAAACAATTCTTAACCGATGAAAAGGAACATTAAATCATGGTAAATTAATCAAGAAAACAGTCTTAGATATGCATTGAATATTGAATCTTTAGCACGGTAACTAGTAAGAAAGCGTATAATTTTTGAACGAAGATAATCAGATTAGCATTGTGTCAAACAAAGTATAGGAGATTGATTAGAAGAAGGCATGAACCAAGCTAGCACATAATTGACTTGACATGTATGACCGTATGAGTTTATCACAAGTCTAGCACAACACGAGAGACACGAATCGAGCCACAAGTTGTACATGGACAATACTTGCAAAAGAGCTGTTATTAAAACACAATGTGCGAGTCTACCAAGCCTAGACCCTGTATCTAAATTATCGACACAACACAACTTTTCCTTGGCGTGTTTCAAGCTAAGCACTACTCAGCTCATTGGAGCATAATACCTTACAGAGTTACAAACTTACACAATCCACCTCATTTACAACTCTATGCATGATGCACTAACACATGAATACATGATACACGTGGAGTGTGTGCGCCCCAATTTTATGCACAAAAGACCAAAATCAAGACTAGAGAGTAATCTTACAAAATTTAGGTTTGCCTTTTGGAGCATTATGAAACGACACCTTGCAAAAATAGGTCATGTAACTGTATTTTTCAATTCCAATAAATTCAACGGTGAAATGCATTTGTACACTTCACACTCCTAATAAAAGAAGATTATCCATTTAACAAAAGAAGCTACTAGAAACAATTTAGGGGTTTTAATCAAATCAAACAAAAACAAGTTTCTATTCATTTCATCATTTCTTTCCCTTAAACCCTAATTACTTCTATTAAATCATCTTCAACCTCTCTGCTCATTTTACTGCGAAACCCAAATTTTTGTTCGATAAATTAATTTCTGCAGATCTTAATCTTAAAGCTCGAAAAAGATAACAATGGATGATTCAAAAGTTCAGCAATTGAAGCAATTCGTTGATCTCTGCAAATCAAACCCTTCCATTCTCTACGATCCTTCTCTCTCCTTCTTCCGCGACTACATCGAAAGGTATGAATTTCCGCCATTGCCAAAAACCTTAGTTTAATCTCGTCGTTTTCTCTATCCTCTTGATTTTTCTAATTGTTTTTGCATTTGTTGGTTTCAGTCTTGGTGCTAAGCTTCCTACTTCTTCCGACAAATCGGTAATTTTTTTCTAGGGTTTTTTTATTTCGATTTTTTTAAAAAAAAATTTGCTTGTTAATTTGTGCATTTTGTGTGTGTATGTTGTAAATGTTTTTTGAATTTGTGGATTCAGAAATACACTGTTGATGATGAGAGTGACGAGGATGTAGCGGATGCTAAGCCGCATGTTGAAGAAGTAGAGGAAGAAGAGGAAGAGGAGGAGATTGTTGAATCTGATGTTGAGCTAGAAGGCGAAATCGTTGAACCTGATAATGATCCTCCTCAGAAGGTCTTTTTATTTTATCTATTTTTTGATGCATTTGATTTAATTTAGTATTGGAAACGTGAGATTTTTCATATGCGTTGAACTATTTGATATGAATATGATATTTGCTGCTAAAATGCTTGAAAAATCGCTTTTATTCGGTTTGAATCAACATAATAGGTTTGGTAAATGTACTTTGTTATTGGAATATTGATGCATAAGTCTTAGATGGTAAGAAATTAAGATACTATATCATTACCCTGAATGCCTCTGCCAAAGCTTCGGCCTTTGACGTTGTAAGTGTAGGGTAAGTAGCCTTATGTGAACGTTGAACAATTGTGAAGGGTCTTGTGCTGTCTTATGAGTGATGATCTTGGATGGTGGTTTAGAATGTATTGTTTGAGTTTTGAGTAACTAAATGCTCTCCTATAGTTGCAAATATATTGACTCTTTTTGTATTGGAATTTTTTGTAGATGGGTGATTCTTCGGTTGAAGTCACAGATGAAAACCGTGAGGCGGCTCAAGAAGAAAAAATGAAGGCAATGGAAGCAATTTCAGAAGGTAATTACATCATATATGTTGTAAAGTTTAGTGGGTGTTTTCTCAGCTGTCTCGTCTTATTTATGTGTGCTTTTTGGGATATTAGGCAAGCCAGAGGAAGCAATTGAGCATTTGACATCAGCTATAGTACTCAATCCGTCGGCTATTATGTATGCTACCAGAGGTAAAACTTCATGCTCTGTTCAGGTTATACTTTGTATTCTGATATCATTGTTTTTATTGATTGTTGTTCTAGTATTATACTGATGTGTCATCTGCTGTTCCACAGCTAGTGTGTATGTAAAGATGAAGAAGCCAAATGCTGCTATACGTGATGCCAATGCTGCTTTGGAGGTAACATTAGACTTGAATATTTTTTTCACTGAAACTGATTGAATAATGATTTATGAAAACTCCTCTTGCATAGATGATTGACTGCTATAGTGCTATATATGTTGCATATATGTACTGAAATTTTGAAAGGTTTGAATCTTGTTGGCAGTTGCCACTGCAATAATGGTCACTATACCACTTCGTGGGCAAATTTTTATGGTTTGCCACTGCCTTGGACTTATATTGCGGTTGTGCTAAGTTCAAAAACCTATACAATGCACGATGCAGTGATAGAACCAAGATTTAATACCCTGGTTGTACTATTCGAAGAGTAAATACCTGCCCACTGTAGATATGATATGTTGAAACGGATAGTCTCCTGTTCTAACCTTTGCATAACCTATTTGCATGCTCAGTTTGCACAATTTTTATCCTTTCATGGAATTCATAGTGCAGCTTGCAGAAGTCTTTTAATTTCTCGTATTCCTTTTGCCAGATAAATCCTGATTCTGCTAAAGGGCACAAAGCTCGTGGCATGGCAAGAGCAATGCTTGGTCAGTGGGCAGAGGCTGCTAAGGATCTGCATGTGGCCTCAACAATCGACTATGATGAAGAAATAAGCGCAGTGCTAAAAAAGGTGCTACCAATATTGATTTTTTATCCTGCATATTCCTTTATATCTGTTATTATTGGTTTGACACCCCAGCGTTATACAATCTTTCATTGATGAAGTATGTTGAGGGGGGTTTCTTTCCATGTAAGAAGTAACAGTTGAGTTGGTTAACAGTAACAGTGTTATTTTCTATCTGCATACTCTACTGGTTGGATGCATTTGAATGAGATGATAGTGCAAGCTATAGAGATCTAGTACTTTGTTAACTCGTTTAGCAGTAGTGTAGTTAGCTGGTTTAACTAGCAGTTAGCTGGTTTTTAGCTGTTTTGCACACTAGTATATAGCAATTCACCAAAATGGACAAGCATTTTCTATATAGTGACCAAAATGCTAATGCAAAATGATTTTGTAACATTTGGAGTTTTAAACTGCTCTTATACAACTGTTATTGCTATTGTGACCGCAATTAATATTTGATTTCCTGTCTAGATCCAGCAATACCTGTCAAGATATTGCTGGCGTTAGGAGAGGGTGAGGCCGCCTTTATGTGAATTGCTATTTTGGTGGGGGTTGGGGAGTCGAGCCAGTAGGATGCTGGATTAGTTGATTCAAGAATTTAGGTCAAAGCTCTGTTTTCAAGGAGCTATGACGTAAAATAGTGTTTTTTAATGTGAGAAGAATACTAGGAAGTAACAATTTATTTTTTATTTTTTTTATTTTTTTTTTCTTTTTGTGTCTTCCTGTTGTGTTTATTTGTTTGGGATGGGGGTTAGGGTTCTACTTGGTATTCCAATATATGTTTAAGGGATTAGGTCTCTGACACCTCTCATATCAACCTATCAGGTTGAGCCCAATGCACACAGGATTGAAGAGCATAGGAGGAAATATGATAGGCTGCGCAAGGAAAGAGAGGAAAGAAGGGCTCAACGAGAAAGACAGCGCAGGAAGGCTGAAGCACAGGTTTCTTTTTTTTATTTCTTTTGTTCCGAAATTATGTTAGTGTGTTGACTATGCAACTGATATGGTGATGTTCCTTTTTAGGCTGCCTATGAGAAAGCCAAGGAGGAGGAAAAGTCATCTTCAAGTAGATCTGGTGGTATGCCTGGAGGATTCCCTGGTGGTATGCCTGGAGGATTCCCTGGTGGTATGCCTGGAGGGTTCCCTGGCAGTATGCCTGGAGGGTTCCCTGGCGGTATGCCGGGTGGGTTCCCTGGTGGTATGCCTGGTGGATTCCCAGGAGGTATGCCTGGAGCGGCTGGAGGTATGCCTGGAGCTGCTGGAGGTATGCCTGGCAATGTTGATTTCAGCAAAATATTAAATGTGAGTTGAAATGCTGTTTCGAAATGATTTTTATGGTATCTCCATATTGATGATTTGCCAGCCGTACCTTAACTGTAGTACTTTACCTATTTTTATCTGTTAATGCTTCCTGTTTCTCCAAGTCTGAATTTGATTTCTTATATGGTAATTGTAATGTTTGGATCAGGACCCTGAGTTGATGACGGCCTTTAAGGATCCAGAGGTCATGGCGGCTCTTCAAGATGGTGAGTGCTAATGTCATTCAGCTCTTCCTGATGTTGTTATTGCACTAATTATGGATTTTGTTATTTTATATTGCTATGTCAATGACTCAACTTCACACCTTGGTTAGTACAAGGTCATATGGTATTAATGCTCTGTGAATGACCAAAGCTGTACACAATACCCCTGCACTTGTATACATGTGCTCTTATTGATTTTCATGACTACTCATTATCACCAGTGACTGACTATTAGATGCTGTAATGACAAATGTGAATATTACCTTGCACATTCTTGGAAAATTCCATGTCAATTTATAAGCAAAATCCACTGTTCACTTAGTTTTTTCGATTTATTCATCGTGAGTTGTGAGAGTAACTGCTTCCTGCTGGTTTAGAGGTTTCACTTCTGTTTCTCTCCATTTTTTTCATTTCTGTCACTTATTGCTGGGGCCTGGGGATACTAAAAACTTGGTGAGATTGTATAGAGGTGTCCTTGGGCCTATGATAACCTAGTTTAGTTTTAGTCATCTGACTTTATTTTGATTTGTGTCTGATTAAGTGGGCTGACTTGCTCATTAAAAGTGACCATTTGGTGGTGGGGTGGGGAGGGTTCAAGTTCTGTATGTAGAGACGTTAAATCCCATATTCCCTCATTCTTATTTAGAGAGAAGAAAGGGGGTGGATTGTTTTGATTTTGGCCTCAACCCATTTCATGTCTTGTATACAATGGAATGGGTTTTCCTTGTGTCCTACAGGAAACATGTCTAACTATTCCCAATTCAAAATCACTTTCATTTAATGTTATACAACGGTTTGTGAAAACTTCGGAGCTATAATGAACATTTTTAAATTATCAAGAAATACTACATTGGTGTAACATACAGACAAATAATACTATGTTAGTGCATTGCGTTTTATATGACATAATGTAGTACGAGAGACATTCACTAATGTAAGATAAAATGGAATTTAAGTAATTAAAAAGCTTTTTGATTCATGATTGTGCACTCCTTGCATGCAGAAGGCAATGTTAGCTAATATGTAGGTTGACCTAATGTTCTATTATGCTTCATTGCATTATTGGCTCAATTGAGTTGGTAAATTTGTAGTGTGTGGATTGTGGCAATGGAGAGCAGAGCATTTTACATTTGTTTTCCTTGCATTTTTGAAATAATTGTGATTATATCTGCTGTTCTGGCCTTACCACATTGTAGGCCTTTTGGGTGTAGAATAGAGAACTGTCTCATACTACAGCAGGGTGACATAATTATAATGACTTATGCTAAATGCTGTGGTTATATTTGAGTCATCTCCCCATAAATTTATTTAAATAATGTTTTGGCTAAGAGGCCTAAGACTGAGTTACTTGTTAGAGTTGTAGGACTTGCTCAGAATTTGAAATGGGCCTGTCCAAGAATTTATATTTGCTTCTGGTTCAACCTTTTGTAATTTCTCATCTTTCTATATTAAGTATGAATTGATTTCTCAAATTTGATGCATGAAAGAATGTAAGATTCTATTGACTAGGTATCATAGCATTTGTTTTAGGTCACTGAGATTTTGAATGTCTGCAATCTCCATCCTGATTTTACTCTTTTCATTTGAAATCTGCTCATAATCAAGTTTCTGAAATTTGATTTGGTACTCTTACAGTAATGAAGAACCCAGCAAATCTGGCAAAGCACCAAGCAAATCCGAAGGTGGCCCCCATTATAGCTAAGATGATGGGCAAATTTTCCGGTTGATTGTGAAGATACATCTGTTGGTGAGACAAAACATGGTGACAAAAAAAATGAGTGGTTCTTCCTGCAAAATTTTAAAAGATTGAGTGGAGGTACTTAACATCGGCACTTTTGCCCTTTTAGTTGACCTTAATTGTGCATGTTCCAACATTGATGGGCTTCACTTTTATATATTGCTAGACAGCAGCTAGTTGTATGTCATGCTGTGATTTAGATGAAACTTGTATCTTGATTTTGAGCAGATCTTATAGACCGAATCTAAAGATAGTTGCTGTTAATATTGCATATTGTCAGCATTGGTTTTATGGAACTTTGGAAAGTTGTGCAGTTGTTTCGGTGTTATACTGTCATCGTTATAGTTGAGTTCAAATATTGGATTGTTTTATTGCATCGAGTGTTCATTTTTGCTGGGAGTAATTCTGCATTCTGTGCTCATGTTCTTCGTACAAGGATTCGAACCTCAGGTGCGGGAGTTGAGTGGTAAACTGGCAATCCAACTCATTGTTTCCATGTTAGTAGCAAGATTTGGGGAAACAGATGGTTAATTATGTTTATTACAAGATGTTGGTTGTATGAATTAATTTAAGTAGAAGTTACTTTATCAAATTCCATTTGAGTTTCATCTGGATTTATAATCTTTTTTTTTTTTTTTTTTGTAACTAAAATTAATTCATTAATTAAAACCCACGAAACAAGTCAAAAAATAACATATGCGAAGTATATATCAAATTGAATCAATCCATTTTTATTATAGTAAATTAGTAACGTAATCTATCTTGCCTACAATTCTACTCGTAATATACTCCGTACTTTGGAGTACGTCTTTTGCAACTGAATATTATGTTATTCTAGTAATATCGTTCCTGTTGGTTGAGGACTATTTACCCCAGAGAGGAACTTCCGACTTTCTTTAGTAAGTCTTACTGTCATAGAATATGCTTGAGATGAAACATCATTTTTCTTAAGAAAACTAGTTTATTTTATTCTGCTTTGATAATGACCAATGTTCTTGAAATTTTTGAAATTTCTTTTTTCTAGAATTATCCATATGAATGTATGAAGGGAAATTCCCTAAAATTTACTCTTTGATTGAGTCAAACATGTTATACAAAGTATGAGTATAACTAAAAAAACAAGACATTTTGTAAAACTGGTCAGGATAGGAGAAGGGTGGTGATATCTAATGGTTTTGACTTTAGGAGGTGGTATCGTTTAGTTTTGTAAAAAATGGGTGGTAAGCTCAACAAAGGATGATTTGAGGGGTGGTTATTTACAAAATTTCCTTAAAAAAAAGTTACTTTGTTGTTTTTTCTGTGTGGCCGGGGTTATTTATTCAGGAGAACTCGATCGGTCAGGGGTTACTCTCATACAAAAAATATGCTAACCGACCGAGTAACTCCACAATATTTAACCCCTGACCGTCTAAGTAACCCTTGAATTAGTAATTTGAAATATGTAACCCCAGAATAAGTAACTCTGGCCACACAGAAAGTTGCTGAATTTACTTTATGTGCTATGTCAAATATGGCATACGAGATAACTCAATAAAAAAATAGAAATTGCAGAGGATCTATTTATTCCTTTGCATTATCTTAAATGTAAAGAAAAGTAAACAATTGTCTAGTTTGAACTTCTTGTACCCAAAAAAAGAAAAAAAATAGTTTGAAGTTTCAACTTGCGTATTATTACTGTAGCATATAGCTTAAAACTTACCACTGAATTTTCTTGTGTTCAGTTTGGTTCCTAACTACTTGTTTGAAATTGTTTTAATGTTGAATCTTTAAGTCCACAAGTTATAATTATCAACTCATTCTTTACCACAAGAACTCTATATTATTACATTTTCTAGGTGGGGCTAATTCTATGACTTCTCATTTAATCGTTTAGTCTATATGAAACTTCACTCATAATCTGTCTTGTAAGCTAGTTTCAAACTCGCAATGCGCGCTAAATTTTTCCTTACAATGAAACTGTTCATTTGTAGGAATTAATTGTGTGATGATTGTTAAAATATGTTTTTTTTTTTTTTTTTGACATGATAAAATATGATTCTAGGCAAGTAAAAAACCAAAGCCACCACACTAATCAATTTTTTGACTAATAATCGTATATATTACTGAAAATGTAAACTCGAAGAACATCATTAAAATAGTAAGGAGTACTCGGCAACAACGAAAACCATGGAGGGTGGGAAGATAAAGATTTGTACGAGTAATGGTTTGTTCATTTCATCTGAAGTGATCTTATTTGAATTAAGCTTATCTACTGAAGTATATAGTAAAATTTAACCCCATTCTACAATAATCTTAACATATGAATCAATAAATGATGGAAGTTAAAAACTTGTTACTACCATAAGTCCATAATACCTTATCTTAATTAGCTCACTCAAGTATAATTTGTCGGCAGTTTAGCACTAATTAATTGTAATTAGTCAACAACATTGTAACCATGGTAGTTCCAAAGTCGCTTTTAGGCTTTTAATTAATGGTTGAAAAGCAGTAATTATGCAAGTTGCTCTTTAATTCACCTGATAATCACTACTTACGGACACGGACTTACCCATGATTGACAGATGTCTAAAACGGGAGATGTGATTTGCTTCCACTTAATTAATTAATCCCTGCCTCCTCTTCATTCTACATCACTTTTATTAATCAAATTAACCACATTTTCATACAATAATTATATCAACTTATTACTTCATCTTTTCAAATCACGTAGATCACTAGCTTAATTACTTTCTAATATCTTTATTGACCTTTGAGACACATATATGTCATATTTAATTCGCTTTCATCCTCTTTGTTCCTGATCTTGAGCCGTCTGGTATGGAAAGAAATATTATTAGTATGCTACAAGGTTCACCCTGTGCTAGTGTGCTAGGTCTCTATCTCAAGGTGGCTAGTGAGATGTTATTATCGTCATGCGACTTGTGATGGGGGATAGACATGAGAAGAAATATCGTAACCCTTCTGAGATTTTAACCATTAGCTTAAAATTTTAATTGAGTTGGTTTTGTGATAGAAACAATCTTAATATTGGTTGATGCTTCACAAAGTCTCCTAAGTGATTTTTCACATTTCAACTTTATAAAATACTTTGTATGAAAAGCATGAGTCTCAATATTTTTTATAATTTGCATAATCTTATTTAAATTGAAATTTAGTTATTATCTCAAACAAAAATAAGCTATGGCATATGTTAAGTAAATCTATATTTAAATCTATATTTCAACTGTTTGAAAACAATCTTCAGCCAAAGGAAAAGATGTCCATGGCAGCAATCTTTTTTTTTTCCACTAGTTTTTGGTTGTTTCACACTTAAACACCTAACACTCTAAAAGTCATCAGCCATATGTAAATATATACTTGACAAAAATATTATTAATAATAGACCAAATAAGCCAAGTTAATAATCAACAGCTGATTATCATACAAGGTCACGTGTGTTATGAAATAAACACTAATAAACGTTGTTTGGGTCCAATTTAGTCCAATTGGGCCTAGGCATTAAATGATCCAATTAAAAGCCCAAGGTCAAGGTTCATCTCTTCAATTGTGCTAAAGTCAAAGATCAGTCCTCAAGGCAAGCCAATTGGGCTAAGCCCCAACTTCTCCATGTATGCAAAGGTATAAAAGCCATCAATATTACATTTGTACATTCATTCAAGCAAAGCCTCAAGCAATTAATTCTCTTGCATAGTGTTCTCTTTCTACACACTGTACTGACTTTAGCATCGGAGGGGCCTTCCTCGGCAACACCCCCGAGGCTAGTTTACGTGTGTTTACTGTGCAGGAAACCTTCGGCCCAACATTACTTGGATCGAATCTAGTCTTCTCCACTTCATCGGACCTTCGACAAGGTCCCATTGTTTTCACCCGAAACAATTTGGCGCCGTCTGTGGGGAAGACTTTCAAAAATCTTTAAGCCAAATTTCTAACCAAGATCATCTTGCAATAATCTTAGTAGCAATGGCTAAGAACCGCAAGAGCAAAGGCCTCCGTCAAGGAACAGGCGAAAAGCCTAAAACCCCTACACCATCACCCTCGCCGGACCGGAACTCTCCCAAGGGTGCCAGCTCGGGGGAAGGATCATACAGGGAGGATTCCCTTTCTCCCGTAATTCATGACTCTCATCATAGGCCGAGTCACTCTCGGTCTAGCAGGGGTGAGTCCGATCATAGGACACATTCAGTGCCCCAAAGCCAACCATCGACTGTGCGCTCTCATTCCCATACTCGGCCGAGGACCCCTTTGGCGGGGCCCAGCTCGAAGGAGGTGGCAAGAGCGCTGGCAGTGCTCATGGAGGCAATGAGGGCACAAAATATGCCACCACCTCGTGATCGAACTCCTCCGCATACCCGGCATCAACGGAGAAAGCTAGACCGTGATGGTGGGAAGCTTCCTTCCTCCCGGGAACTGGGAGAGTGGGAAGAGGATACCTGGAAAACTGAAAAAGAGAGGAAAAAGAACCCTCAATTTTTCAAAGGATCCTCATCCTCCCGACCAGAAACGCATAAGAGCAGTAGCTCAGCTTCTCGGCCAGAATCTACTCACCGAGAACGACCTGAGACTGTTCGCCGAAGCGTCCTCGACCGACTCGGCGGCAAGGAACCGAGCGTGCACAGACGCCTCTCGTTCCCTGCTGCCGAGGCCCAGACTTCCCAGCCAGGGACGAAAACCACTCCTACCTCTCTAAGAGGGCGGAGCGCGGTCCCTTCGGCCAAGAACAAGGGCAAGGCCGTTATGCTACCCGCCAGTTCGTCATTCGAGCAATGGATACTGGAAGAGCACGTGCCCACGGTTAAAATACCGTCGCACATCACATATGACGGGACCTCGGATCCGAAGGACCACGTGGCCTCGTATGAGACTCATATGCATCTTTGCCCCAGATCCGAAGGACCACGTGGCCTCGTATGAGACTCATATGCATCTTTGCCCCAGATCCGAAGCGACTTGGTGCAAATATTTCCCAACCACTCTCAAGGGGGTCGCGCAAGCGTGGATCTCCAAGGGAGTAAAGAAAGGCTCCATAACAGGGTGGGATGATCTATCCTCCAAATTTAGGAGCAAGTTTTCCACGGCAAACCGCCGAGAGAAGACTACTGCAGAACTCATGAGTCTGCAACAGGGGGAAACCGAAAGCCTCCGAGACTATCTGACCCGTTTCAGTAACGAGTCATCCAGCGTCTCTCAGCTGGACCAGGGGCTAGCCGTTTTTGCAATGCAGAATGGCCTTCAGCCCGGGAAGTTCCTAGACTTCATGGTCATGCATACCCCGCAGACCTTGGAGGAAGCTCTGAATGCCTCGGATAAGTTCATCCAAGCCGAAGAATGGAACAAAGCGAAAACCCAACCTCAATTCGGGGGAGGGAAACAAAGACAAATACCCTTGT